AAAAAGAAAAAAGTAATGTTGAGTGATAAACTGGGAGACAAAGTACGGCTTTGGTAGGGAAGCAGACAAGCCAATGAAACGGTAGACTTTGCCAGGGGAAAGTCTTTATGGACTGCAAGATTTCAAATTGGGCAGCTTGAAGGCCGGACCGGTCATTTAAGTGACAAGACCGTTGGCGGTTTTCTTATATTTAATGACTAGATACACTTGTATGTATCAGCTTATATATATATATATATATATATATATATATATATATATATATATACACGCACACATATATATATATATAGAGAGAGAGAGGTAGATATACAGAGAGATGGTTTATCGTGCATATGAATGGGGATTTTTAAACTAATACTATCATGAATAGACGTTTGTGTGCATACGAATGATGTTTGTAACTGTCATATAAAATCAAGTTTATAAATGTATGTAAGATAATATATATATGTGTATATATGTGTATGTGTGGGTGCGTATGTGCGTGTGTGTGTGTGTGTGTGTGTGTGTGTGCACTTGAGTGCAGCTGAAAGATCTCGGCCGAAACCACTTTCTAAAATCTGAAGGAATGATCAAATTGCATTTTTTTTTTTGTTAGAATCACATGTTGGTTAAGCCGAGAACCTTTCAGCAGCGTTTCGAATGGTCCCCCTTCCACACACGCACGCACACACACATAATTACAGTTATAAAGTTTTTCACACGCATACATATATTCATGAGCAACGTACTGCGCCTCCTTGGTTCCACGTTTACAACTGACTTGAAGTGGAGCGACTACATCGAATCAATACCTGCATCTACTGCAAGGAAAGTTGGGTCACTGTGTCGTGCTAAAAGGTTTTTCTCATCAGCTTTTATCCTTTCCTTGGTCTCCCCCATTCCCAGTCTTTTCTCTCATCTTCACTCTCTGTACCCACCCCTGCATACTAGTGGCATCCCCACCTTGCTTGGGGATTTAAAAATGATTGCATGATTTTAAAAAATTGTAGACAAAAGAATCAACATTGCATAGTTATTATCACTTTCATGCCTCAATCTGATCTTAAGGCAACTAGATTGCATAAGGGGTGAAACTGGCAGTCACCATACAATGCTGATTACTATATCCACACTGTTTATAACTATCAATGCACTGTCTTCAATACTGTGCCCTCTTTCTATTGTAATATAGCAAATGTTTAATTGCGTATAGTGTGAATATAAAAAAAAATAATTACACGGTAGGTATGATAATCATCAAGTAAGACATGAATCTCAGTCATTACTTCTATGTGTTATACCCCTTCAGAAAATGTTCTGCCCACTATCAGCATGGTTGACGCTAAACTCATGGAGAGCAACACACTACACCTTCTTGGCCTCATATATTCAACTAACTTGAACTGAAACGACTACATCGAATCAATAGCTGCATCTACTGCAAGGAAAGTTGTGTCACTGTGTCGTGCCAAAAGGTTTTTCTAATCAGAGTCCATCTTGCACGCTTATAAATTTCCCAATCGTCCGGGCATTGAATACTGTTGCCATATCTGGTCTGGTGCTCCTGCTATTCATCTCGAGGTTCTTGACAATATCCAAAGAAGGATCTGCAATGTAATCGATATCTGACTTGGCATCTCAATTTCAGTCAATTTCTTTTTAACATGTCTTCCCTCTGTCTTTCCTACAAATATTCATGGCTACTGCTCTGACGAGCTATTTTCTCTGGTGTCTGAAATGCGTGAGTTTAAGCGTGCTACTCGATTGGCATCTAGGTCTCACACTTTTACTGTTGAAATAGTTAAATGTAACCACCACTTCTACTCCAACAGTTTCTTTCTCGTACTACCTGCCTGTGAAACTCCCTTTCATTTGCTTGCTTCCCTGATAACTAGAATCTTCAAAAATATAAATGCAATGTCAATCGCCATTTTCTATCTTCTTGAACCCCGTTCAGCTTTGATCTTTTCCTCAACCAACCACTATACCCAGTTTTTCTCTTGTTTTCACTTTCCTGTAACCCCCTCCCCGCGTGTTCCAATGTCTTTGTTTTTCTATTATATTTCTTTATGACTCTCACCGCAAGAAATCACGCACACCCCAACACACACTCACACTAACACACGTACGCACAAACACATATGTAAAAGAGAGAGAGAGAGAGAGAGAGAGAGAGAGAAAAGGGGTGTGCTAAAAGGATTTAGGGCCATCCAAGAAGGCCCTGCTAAAAAAAACCCAAAAAAAACCCTGATGTTTAGTCATTTGATCAGATGTTATGGAATAGTTCAGGCCGAGAATTTTTCAGCAAGCCCATATATATATATATATATATATATATATATATATATATATATATATATATACAGTTAAATTCCCAGAAAAAATTAACCAGAAAAAAGGCTTAGACACAAGCGTCTAATTTCGATTTCATTTTTGCCTTGAAAAAAAGTCGGAAGACGAAACGCGTCGGCAAAATGTATGATTTTTCCAATTGTTATTTGATACCATATATATATATATATATATATATATATATATATATATATATATATATATAGATAGATAGATAGATAGATAGATAGATATAAGAATGACATATATGCACATAATAATATAAATGTTAGTAGATCAGACTGTAACAAATAGATAGATAGATAGATAGATAGATAGATAGATATGAACAGACTGAGATAGATATGAACAGGCTAAGATAGATAGATAGATAGATAGATAGATAATATGAATAGGTTGTCACAGATAGATAGATATGAATAGGTTGTCATAGATAGATATGAACAGACTGGCATAGATAGATAGATAGATAGATAGATAAAGAGTTAAGATAAATTGTTAGATGTAAACAGAGATAGGAAGATAAATAACGAACATAGATGAACAAATGAATATGTAGATGCATAGACAGCGAATAAAATCGTCCATAATAAATAGATTTCTTTATTTGTTCGGAGTCGGGCAGAAGAAGAGGATTTTTATTACGGTTTTACATGCTCGTCCTAATCTGCAAAGAACACTATAAAATAAAGCGAGTTGTTTTCCTTTTAATCAAGGGACTCATTGCTTGATAGAAAGAGGGAAAAGCTGCCCTCAAATGTGGACGAATTGGAGCTTGTCAAGCAATGACGTTCCAGTAGTGATGGTCTTCTTGGAGATGGAATGGAGCAAAAGAAATTTCAATCTGAAATTAATAGCAGGTAATTCTTCACCGGTCAGGAAAATAAACTTGGGTTCAGGTGAGAGAAGATTTCCTTCCATGGCCCATCGGCATTTGATGACAGCAATAAACTCAGTGGTTTCATCACATTCATTCATTTTCTTAAATTTCTTTCCATTTTATCATCTCCTCCTCCTCCTCCTCGCCCTCCACACGCACACACACAGACACACACATATATATTTATATGTCTATCTATCTATCTATCTATCTATCTATCTATCTATAACTCGACTTGATGTATAATATATCAGCTGAATTTTTTGGCATTAATTTTAACCTCTCTAGAATAAAATTACCTTTGTAGAGTGCAAGTGGTCAAGTTTGGTAATCCGTATGGATAATCCCAAGGAGGATGAAATCCAGAGAGCTCAATGTTAAATCAGAGCAAATGTTAATTTAATAAGATTAGAAAACAGACAACGTTAAGGATCCATTGATTATATTTTATTTCCCCAGGGAAGTGTTTTTTTCCTGGTTCTTCCGATCACATTTCCAAGCATAATATATATATATATATATATATATGTGTGTGTGTGTGTGTGTGTGTGTGTGTGTGTGTGTTTATATATAAATTCTCGAGGTCCTCTATATCAAAATCAACCAACCAACACTCAACATAATTTATGACGAATATAGCAACAACATATTAAAGTGCATATAAGATTTAATGGCATTTTACATTTCTAACAATTTCCGGTCAGCTCCCTTATATTGAAATGCTTGTTTTATAAAAAAAAATCTATAATTTTTAAATTTATCCGGATAAATTTTAAAATTCTAAAACAATTATAACAGAGAGCGTTCACGCGTGTTTTTAAAAATCAGCATCACAACGGAATGCAAATTTTATTGCAGCTACAATAAATTTGACTTTCTAATTTACCCCTGAAAATAAAGGATCTTAGAATAGATCGAAATTACTAAATGGCTAAACAGAAAAACTATGGCGCCTTCCTTGATAAATTTCATCTTATCATCAAAAAACTGATCAGACAGCTAGAAACGACCAGTATAAAATAAATTGACACAATATGTCTATATTAATCAATAAAACATGTTTGAATGAAGATATGCCATATATATATATATATATATATATATATATATATATATATATATATATATTGTTTTGGTACTGCTCTAGTTCGACTAAAATCAGTGGCAAACAAAATTTACATATATAAATGACGACTTGTCATTGTCAGAATAGGTGAAATGAAATGGAAAAACCAATATGGCGTTAGTTTCATGATTAGCAACAGAAAGTAAGACACAGCTGGCCAAAATCTTAAGCCCAATTAAAATAAAGAAAAAAATTATACCTTTTGTATTGTTAGACTCAACAACTTATTTCAGTAGAACTTCAAAAAATGAATATACGAAAAATAAAAATTAAAAACTTATTTTAGCATTTAATATGAAAAATTTGATTGCTGGAAAATTTGGCTAAATACTTGTTGGTCAAATGATTCCGACTATACCTAAAAGAAGTCCTAAAAAGAGTAGGAAATGCCCACCAAGACATGTCATTAGTGAGTTTCACGACCGTCAAAAATAAGGTTTGATATAAGCGTCCGCTTGGGCACCTCGGATTGGTGTAATGGTTAAGCTTGTCTCGCTGAAACAGTTACGACTGAATAGTGAGTTCGATCCTCACTGGTGGTCCCATGCATCTAAGCTACTCACTAAAAGCGTTTGCAGAAAGCTGGTTGAAATGTTATTCCAAGTGGTGAAGACGGGTTCACGAAGATCATGCACTGTTTGGAATTGGCGTCAGTTTCTGTAGACCTCCCTTGCCATTCAGCCGGAGAAGTTTCTCATTTTCATTTTTCGAAGCTCTATTCAAATGAGTGGTTCAGTCTAACAACGCAAAAGTTATATTTTTCATTGGCCTTAAGATTTTGTCTAACAGTGTATGAATGCAAATATAGCTGTAAAGAATGCATTAAATATGATCTATCAGGAAAAGTGTAGCTGATATCACGTTCAGGGATCCTTTGTTGACATTCCTTCCACAGAGGTTAGTTTTAGCAACGGTTTTGAGAGTAGAGTGCTTTCTATGAGAAGAAAGTTCCCTCTCAACCAACAGTTTGTCGATTTTCCAAATGCCTTGGGAAGACCATTTACTTCGGGGATGTTTTTGGTGTGTAGAGATGCCGTTGTCCTAAAGGAAGAAGGAAAGAGGCTCCTTGTCTTACCTGACGGCTCTCGGTCAGCTGGTAAAGTGGGGACAGGTTGGTTTGGTTTGTTTTACGGCATATCAGCCTCAATAAGTTATTTAATGCTGACAAAATTTTTTATTGCTGGTAATATTTTGTTTTGTCAAAAATCAGTTTCTAGTAATATTTTTCCTTCAAAAATATATGCTGTAATAATTTTTTTCCAAAAAGTATTGCTGGCAATATCTTTTTTCAGAAATGTATTGCTGGTAATAGTTAACTATTTGCCCATAGCTGGAACCCTAACAGGTGCTACCACCCCGGGTCAGGGTGAACCTGAGAATACCAGCAATTAAGAGGTGACTCCACGCTCCTCAGAACCTCCTGATCAAAGGCCTTGCTGTTGGTATCGTCTTACCCAGGACGCGGATGTAGGTTTATCGTCATACACAAGACAGCAAAAGCTTTTGAAAAAGTACGTCATAAAGAACTAATGGAACTCATTGTAACCATGACATATTTGGGAAAGGATACTAGAAAAGCTATAACGTGACACCAAAATCAGAATACGCATTGAGATAGCAAATGATGTCTTCAAGAGCGAAGTAAAATATTACGAAACAGGAAAATTTCGTTAGAAACAAAGAAAAGAATAGTGTACTGTTACGTAATATCAGTCCTTCTGGATCTGTCTATATTTCTGAGATGAGGTATTATATACACTATTTACATTATTCGGAATATTGTCCTCATCTTTGTCTCCATATTTATTACAACGTTCCGGCCTTTCAGTATCTGTCTATATTTCTGAGATGAGGTGTTATGTACACTATTTACATTATTCGGACTATTGTCCTCATCTTTGTCGCCATATTTTTTACAACGTTTCGGCCGTTGTACGCAACGGCCTTCTTCAGGTAGTTGGAAAGCCAAACTGAACCCTTTATTTTGCGCACTAGGGTAGACTGTTCTAGTTTCACGTGCCATGTCAGTTATCAGTTATCTCCTGTTAATTCCCCTCTCCTAGTTCTCCACTGCCTTAACCGAGTATTAAACTCACACTCTTTGGGTCCTGTCACTGGATCTAACCAACGCCTTTATTCCCTGTGCCATGTCTCCTTAGGAAAGATGACATATAAGAAATGACACTCACATAACATATTGGAGGCAAGAGAGACAAAGGAAAACACTTCATAATCGACCTAAACACCTTGTGTAAGTAGATGACAGAACAGGGTTTAGGATATATGGCAAAAAGACAATATTTACTATCAGCGTCCATACACGGTATTATCAGGAAAGTTAAAATGTATTGATAATTTTCTAACATTTCTTCAACAAGCGTCTTCGTAAGTAAGATTATAAAACCAAAATACCTATAATTCAATAAAATTTTGTATTAATTTGTAAATGTTAAGTGATATTGTTATTAAGTAAAATTATATTTACTAATCATAAATGAAAAAAAGCTTACTACAATTCAGCGGCATCCAATACTTTAAAAAGATTTTTGAATTATTTTTGTGTGTGTATAAACATTTCAATTTTCGTAAATACAGTGTCCATACACGGCATCATCAGGAAAGAGCGGTGACTATAGTAAAGTTAAAATGTATTGATAATTTTCTAACATTTCTTCAACAAGCGTCTTCGTAAGTAAGACTATAAAACCAAAGTACCTATAATTCATACTATTTACATTATTCGGACTATTAAATATAGACAGGTAACTAAATTTAAATTATAGACAGGTACCTAAAATTAAATTAAATTATATATATATATATATATATATATATATAGATAGATAGATAGATAGATAGATAGATAGATAGATAGATAGATAGATATGAAGGTGTTCATGTTATATCTATCAAGTAATTATTACATTAATTGTCCCCCTTCGAAAAATTCCTAAATATATGTTTATCGAGATAGTTGTCATAAAAACGCCCATCTCCTTATCAAAAATGCTTTTCTGCGATATTTTAAACTAAAAAGTAATATTTGTTACAAATCAGATTAATTAAACTTTCACTCAGCTAGTCTTTCTCAAATAATATTTTAGAAAAGTATTTTCTATTTTTAAATGTTTTTTTAATAATAAGAATTACATTGTACTGACAGAATTGTAAATATGCTAAAGGTCAGTCATTTTTAGCGATTTAAAAATAATTCCAATCAATTTAAATTCGTTTTGAAATATAGCAAAGTATTTTGTTTATTAGACCGATTAAATTTAATCTATTAAAAAATTGAAATTAAAACTAAAATAAAGGCTTCGAGAATGATTTTTAATTTTTTTAAATTTATTTTAAACACTAGGTATAGCTTTTCTTTTAGAAGTACCTGCACATTAGTATAATTTTTATTATTAGAAAATTGCAACTTTGAACAAATTTCTTTTTATGTCGGTATACCACCACAACACAATCATGTAGATTAACTTTGTTATGATGTTGATTTGGGGTTAGTAGAGACAAACGCCAAATAACACGTAACAATAAAAGGGTTTTAATAGGT